GTATATATATATGTATACATACATACATTCATTTAGTGACCGATCAGAAACCCCAGGATCTGAATATTAACAGCTTCACACTAAAACCTCATATGCAACAGCCTTCCTTTATTCTTCTTTTCGCTAAAAATGAACTCATCAGCATTTTTTTTGCTTAAATATGTATTAAATATACAACAAAAAAAATCGTATTAAAAAAGGAAACAGTGTGACCATGTTCTAAAAACAGCAGCATGGGTCTCCCTGCTGAACTTAAAGCCTGAGTCTTCCCCTGAGCAGTAGGTGGGCTTCTTCTGCGGCCAACAAGTAGATGTTTGCTTTCCATTGTGGGACACCATCGTTTAATTTTGGTCTGTTAGACTTGTGTGAAATAGAGGACCCTCTGTAAGAGCATGAGCATAAATGCAGCATAGTGGTTGTACAAGCATTTTGACAAATCAGTCAAAGCAAACAGATTTGGTGACTCCCATTCCTCTCAACCACGGCTGCATCTCAGTACACTTCAACGCATAACATARCATTATATTATATTTAGCTTATTTAAACGGAATGAAAAGCAATCGCTATAGTCACTTTCATCAATAAAATCATGCTATTTTCTTCTTTCCTGAGGGCAGACTACAAATAATGTTTACATTGAGATGCTCAAAATCCGTTATATACGCCAAGTTATTTCTATGAAAAAACCTATGATGGTGATTTGAATGAGCAAACCACAGCAAGCATTAGTACTTCCTGAGCAGCCTGGGTCGATTCGAGGAGGGATATAATTTCTCTGCTGGAATATAGTCCAGCAATGTGCAACTGGTGGCTAGCAGACCTCATGGGGTCCATGGGTGACTTCCGTCCCGTTCACCACTCAGCGCTTCAAGTAAAATAATCAATAACTAACATATTTTAGGAGGTGGATTATCTGTTCACAAAATTCCAAGACAAACCCTGTGTGTTCAGTCTGCTAAGAGATGCAGTCAGATTTTTATTATGACACCACTACAGTACATGTTGCACAAAGCTAAATGTGAGAAACTTACTGAACTTGCAATACACAACAGTGGCTTTTTACCAGAGTTTGGAGTCAAGGTGTGGCATGTCATTACACTTCAGCTTGAAAGTATTTAGTCTTTTCTTGCCTCAAATGTTTTGTATCCATACAAAATACATAAACATCTTAAAAACAGCAAGCATTCTAAAAATGAAATGTTGGATTTACTTAACCATGTTATGTTACCTGGTTCCACTTAACTGAGTTGAGTAAATTCAAAGCAACATACTCATGTTCTTTGG